TTCTTTAAGTTACTTGATATGATTTCCATTTCACTACTGGCAAAATGAAGTTGCATATGCCTTTTAACTTCATGTTTATAATGTAAGAAAGAACCAAAACTGTTTTTCAGAAGGCCCATTACACATAAAATTCATTTGTCTGGGAAGTATAGTATTGGTCGGAAACTGCCATAAAATGAGCTGGACTGTTCCTTGCTGCTTCCCTCTTTTATCAACTCCACTGTGTGCTTCATTGTGTGGCCCATAGTACATAATTGTTTTTCATTAGTGGACATATGCCCAGGAACAATTTATTTCTTAATGTCAATCCTGATGACAAAATTTGGTCTCATATTCTATGAGACTTATATAAATTCAAGGATCACCATATGTATTTCAGTTTTACCTTCCACGTTTGTCAAACTTTCTTCAGTTGCCCTTATCCAAATGTACTTTGGTAGACATTTTTTCATGTTTACCTTGAAAGCTCAACTCAATCAAAGTAATTCAGATAAGAAATGTTCTTGGCATGGATAATGATATGAGATATGAATTAAATGGAAGGGAAAAATCCTCTCCATTGTGGATCTGAGCATGGATAATGGAGTTGTGATTTAGTCCATGAATATTTGTTAGAGTAAGTGATGTGACCTTTAGCTCCTCTTACTGTTGAGCCAAAATGAGAATATAAATAAAAATTATTTTTTCTTATCACCTTGAGAGATGTTATAAATCACTAATTTTGCATTTATGCTTATAATATCTACTTAGCTCTACAAAAGTATGCATTATTTCCTTAAACTTAAGAACTCAGAAAGCATTGAGTAAATGCACATTTTTTTTCTCTAGACAGTTATAATCCTAATGTAGTTGTTCTTCTGACACAGGCAAGTATTATATGTTTTCCCTTGTGTAGAATCTAGGAGGTAAACAACATGAAAACAGAAGGGAGTCTATTAGAGGAAAAGGGGGGTGGGGGACGGGGGAGTGGAAAGGGGATAGATAGGATTAAAGTATCTTATATGCATGTACAAATATAGTGCAATAAAACTAATATTCCATATAACAAAATGCACTAATGTATTTTTAAATTGAGCTTTTCGTCAGTCCCATTAAATATAATTCTTTATACTTGTCTAACAATTTGGGTGTTCATTTAATGATAGGAACCAGCATCTTTGAGGGAATCTAGAGGTGAATGATAATCTTCCCATTGCTTAGCTTCATTCTTTGTAATTCAAATGAAGGCCAATACTTTTATGCAATAAAAAGAAATCCATTAATTCAAACAGTATTTACATGTATGATTATGCTTATATGTATAGTATGTAAGCAAGCAATTCCTAATTCACTCATCTAATTACACTGAGACCAGTAAAAAGCATTGCCCACATTGCAACAAAAGTGACTTAGATTTGATTCATTTAGAGTTTTCTGAGAACAAGATAGGTTTAAGTAATGGAATGTGTTTTTGAAGGACAAATATTTAAATATATTGGAAGATGAAATATCTTTTAGGCTTAATAAGTGCTTTTTGTTTTATAAATCCAAATTATTTTTAATTTTTTTTAGTTACATGTAACATTAGGATTCATTTTGAAATATCTATAAAAGCCTTGGATAACATTTGCTCTAATTCAGTCCCCAGTACTTCCCCTTTCCCTCCCCTTCTCCATTCCTCTGGTCCCTTCCCTCTACTCTAATGATCATTTTGCTCTTGTAATTTTTACTTTTTAATTAGTGTCTTGTGGATATACGTGATGGTGAGATTCACTGTGGTGTATTCCTATATGTACATAGAAAAGTTGGGTCAGATTCATTCCACTGTTCTTCTCTATTCTATCCCTTCTCCCTCCTCCTCAATCCCCTTCATGTAATCCACTGATCTTTATTTTTGATGGGCCCCTCATTTTCTTTTCTCTTTTTTACAGGCAAAAAGAGTAAATGACCATTGGCATTTATTGGAAGATTTGATTTTAAACATGTTCAAACAAAATGTAAAAAATCACAATACTTACATAACTTCAAGTTAACAACACTTTTCAATACATGTTTTTATTATTTATGTCAGTTTTTATAAGATATTGGTATTTTCTTTAATAGACTTAATAATTTGGCTCTAAGTTTCTTCCAGAAGAGCCTTTTTCAGATATGACTTCTGTATTAGTTTGTAATTGCTGCCATAACAAATACCAGACTGGGTAGCTGAAACAATAGAATTTTATTTTCTCAATTTTCTGAGTGTTAGAAAGTCCAATATCAAACCTACTGACTCAATTGATGTCTTCTGAGTCTTTTCTCCTTGGCGTGTAAATGGCTGCCTTCTTCCTGTGTCCTCATGTGGTCATGTGGTCTCTCCTTTACATACTTATTCCTGGTATTTGTGTCCAAATTCTCCTCTTAAAAGGCCACCAGTAAAACTGGATTAGAGACTACTCCAATGGCTTCAATTTTAGACCTTCAAAGAAGGCATTAGCTCTGAATATGATTTCATTTGAGGTAGTGGGTTAGGTGTAGTGCTTCACCAGTAGTTTTGGGGAATACAATTAAACTCACATAATTATTTTGTTCATATTTAGCACATGTAGGTTTTTTTCACATAGATATTTGAATAAATTTCATGATTGATGAGTGAGCAAATTAGAATCTATCATGAACTAAAGATAAATATTGGCCAACTCATACCAGGTTCAATGAATTATCAAAATTTGAGTCATTATTTGGATACAAAGGACACTTTAATAACATTCTTAAAATAGTGTCTTAAGTAGGTTAATCATATATCTAAAATTCTTAATCATTAGTGGTATAGTATTTATAATGGAAAACACGACAGTATACAATGCATCACATTAAAGCATTTTATAATTTTAGCTAGCTATGGTGGCATATGTCTATAATCCCAGCAATTCTAAAGATTAAAACAGGAGGATCAAAAAATTCAAGGTCAGCCTCAGCAAATTAGTGAGACTCTTAGCAACTTAGTAAGACCCTGTCTCAAAGTAAAAGGAATAAAAATGACTGGAGATGTAGCTAATTTCATTGATTTAAGTTGGCTTATCAATCCTCGGTACCAAAAAGTATATATTTTAGAAATTTTTAAAAAATTAAGTAATCTAGAATAGGAGGGGTTTTATTTGGATTTGTAGAATCCTACAAATTTTTCTAATAACATTAATAAATTATAATTTTTCAGCAGTAGGATCAGTTTACCTTTGTTTTTTGCAGCAATACATAGGTGCTCTATGAATTTAAGTCTCCATTTTCTTTCATTTATAAATGCTATAGTTCCTTTGCCCTTTCCCACCTTTATTACAATCTTTATAGGGCTATAGCAAATATACCATGTTTTGACCTTTTATAACTATACAATCTAATAAGGAAGATGGTACAGTTTATAGCTAAGGCATAAGGTTTTCTGTTTGAAGTTATTTTTTTCACAACTAATCTATGAAGCATTATGTTACATGAATCAGTGTATCTGATACATATATAAACTGTTACTAGATTTCACTAAAAGAACTTAAAATATATATTAGGATAAAACCAATTTATTTGTTTGTAATAATTAAATGGTACTATTTTTAAGTTCATTGATTTAAGTTGGCTCATTTCCTGAGGGTGTCTTGCATTTCTATTTCAATGTTATGGTTTTTGTGATAACCTAATGTAATTCAAAAGGAGTTGAGTAGAGAATGAAACTATAAAAAATAAGAAAATCAGTTACATTATGCTGAAAGCAATAACATTTTTATTGACACTTCTGAAGAAAATCTGAAAACTCACTTCTGACTGAGATGCATATGAGTACATGATCATTTTAATATTGTAGTAAAATGTTTATTGCCTACTGTTTACTCATGCGTGGGATTTCCTTTTTGAAGTAGTAGTAGATTAAACAGTGTAAAAAATTATGGAGATATCCAAGTTACCTAAGGATAGATGGATTTTTTTTCATAACTCTAATTACATTTGCATTGTTTGAATCCCATAATAATATCTTCTAAATGAATTGATCCAAATATGCAGCATCAAGATAAGTAGAAACTTGTGAGGCTTATTTTAGATACTGGATATATTTTCCAAAATATGAGTTGTAAACACTTTTATTTTAGTTTTGATTCCATACAAAATAAAGCATTCCACATATTGTGATACCTCTATCTTTAAAGATCCAACAGCGATGAGACATTAATTCTCTTTATATTAAAAAAAATCATAAAAGTTTGAAATTTTAGGCTCTGAAGTGCATCATAAAGGAGTGCAAGTAAATGACATACATTTTTGTCTTTCAAACATGCCCTGTGCATTAAAATCATTATAGTATATATTTCTGACCAAAAAGCATTTGTATTTGGTTTATGTTATACATTAAATTACTGTGTACACTTAAAAATTAGTGACATGCTAAAGGTATGGAGTTCCTATTCAGGGACTATTATGATTTTATCTCAATGTTTTTGAGATAGCACATTTCATAGTCTGTAAGAATATAGATAATTTAAACTTTATATGGTAATATTCTAATTATGCAGAATTTAAATAAGAGTCCTTTTAAGGTCTTTAATTTAATAGTCAGACTTTTATTCTTTGGAGCATTTTTTCAGACCTAAGGAATATACAGAGTTTATAAGTTCTCATTGGAAAATCCCCTTCATGTTTTTAGCATTGACACATAATAGTTGTACATCTTTATGGGGTATAGTATTGTTTTTGTACATATATTGTGTATTGACATTATATAATTTTATGTTTATATCTTTGCTAATGTATTGTTGAGATAGTGGTATAACTGCTTCAGACTGCTTGTAAATTGCTTTTCAAGGAAAGGTGAAAGACTGAAATAATCTGAAAGGCACATTGCTTACCTAATTCAAAGCAGAAGCAGAAAGGGTGTTATTTAAAATCCCCATTATACATAGGAGACTCAAAATCGAATACTTTGTCAAATCATTTATACCATTTTTAATGAAATTCAGTTAAAAATTGTTTACTGATGTGTTCCGTCCTCTCTTCCCCAGGTACTAGGAGATCGATGGGCAAATATCTGTAGGTGGACAGAAGATCGCTGGGTTCTTTTACAAGACATTCTTCTAAAATGGCAGCGTTTTACAGAAGAACAGGTGAGTTATGTGGAAATCATGTCAGTTAAAGACATGGAGAGGTATTAATTTGAAAAAAAAAAAAAAAGGTCTATATTTTTTTTAAAGAGAGAGAATGAGAGAATTTTTAATATTTATTTTTTAGTTCTCGGCAGACACAACCTCTGTATGTGGTGCTGAGGATCGAACCCTGGCCACACGCATGCCAGGCGAGCAGGCTACTGCTTGAGCCACATCCCCAGCCCAAAAAGGTCTATTTTTAATAATTATTTTTCTTCTCTGAAATTTCTTTCAGTGCCTTTTTAGTGCGTGGCTTTCAGAAAAAGAAGATGCAATGAACAAGATTCAAACAACTGGTTTTAAGGATCAAAATGAAATGTTATCAAGTCTTCAAAAAATGGCTGTATGTATATTTTAGCCTTCAGTAGTCTTTTAAAAGCTTCGTAGTATATTATTACCATTTTTTGGTATTTTCTATCAAGTCTGAAAGGAAATGTGCATCTTTTTTGCTTACTTTATTCAAAGATGGCATATGTTACTATTTAAAATGGGGAAGTCTGAACATAGATTTTCACATTTGCTTTTCAAACAAAATTGTGCTCATGAAAAAATAAGTATACCTATAATAAAACTTTATTTAAAACATAAAAAGTAATACTAAGAAGTATTTGTGAGCCAAGAGTTCTAAGCATCATCATTGTAAACTGATAAAGTTCATACTCAGAGTAATACAAGTATACAAGAAGTATAAGAGATGATTATTATCACATACATGGGTTAAACCTTATTTTGACCAAAAAGGATAATCAAATGACATTCATTATATGTACCTCATGTATTTTGAGAAATGATATGACATTGGCAGTAACATGACTCCAGGGAAACCTTCATTGACACATCTGGTTTCAGTTGAACAAGATTAAAAAAAATAGAACTCTACAACTTCTTGATCTTTTGGAATTTTATTTCTTTCCAGGAAAGGAGAGGTCAATCTAATATTAGGAACTTAAATTACTAAGTAGAATATTCTAAATTAGAATTTATTTACATTTTAGATATATCAATTTTGTGAAATGCTAATTTGTTATTAGCTACTTAAGAAACAAAATTTTATTATAATAGTTCATGATTTTACCTAAATTAATATACTTTTATTTGTATTGATATTAGATATTATACTTATATTGATGCTTGAATAATTTCTTTAAAGCTAAACTTAAATAAATTTCCCTGGTTATTTTAAATATGTGACATTTTACCAAATATTTATTTGCATTAGATTTTTTTGTTTCATATGTACTGATACTCATTGGGCATTTAATTTAAAATAGGTTTACTTATTGTTACAAGTTAGCTTTTACATAAATCATGGGTCAAAGAATAGATGCTTTTGAAGTGATGCAATGCCTATGGAGTTCAGAAAAGTAGTTTATGTAGTGGAAGATAAGTAAAAAATGTTAGATATATTTAAAAATTTCTTCATCAACTGATGGGGGCCATTGAGAGATTGAAACAATCATGTTTATCTTTTTGTAATACTCTTTGGTAGTAATATTTCTGGTAGTAAGGAGATTAATTAGAAGTTTTGAACTAAGTAGCACTGTAAGTGAGATGAGAAGGGAGACATGACAAATGTTGATGGAATGAATAAAACTTACCATAAGAGAGAGAGATCAAAAATGATACCTATACTTCTAATTTGGGTGATTAGAGTCCTAGAAAGGTTAGTAGACTTAAAAGGAAAATGGATGAGAAATATTTAGAAGGCAAAAATGATAATTATTTGAGTTTTGATAATATTGAGTCCAAAATGTCTTCGGGACATCCAAGTGAAAACATTCATTTCTTTAGCCAACTAGATATATATATACCAGACTCTCAATAATGAATTAATAACTAGATACCTATAAGTAATAGAGAAGATTCAGGGAGAATTTTATAGAGTGACACAATAATTAACAGGGACAAAAACTGAGGGTGCTTCTCAGTTCGGAAAGAAGGGACAGAGGATAAGAAGCTCAGAAAGTAGATTTGATTAATTCAAATAATTCATGGTACAAGAGGGAGGAAAAGAGTGGTATTACAAAATGAGAATATTTTACACAGGTAGAGAGTAGTACACACTGTCATATGCCACAGAGAAGAAATTATAAATTCAGGGACAATTTTTAGCATATCTAGGGGAAAGGATAGTTGGGCTACATATTCTTAAAATATGGATTTTTTTTTTGAGAGAGAGAGAATATGAGAATTTTTTAAATATTTTATTTTTTTAGTTTCGGCAGACACAACATCTTTCTTTGTATGTGGTGCTGAGGATCGAACCCGGGCCGCACGCATGCCAGGCGAGCGCGCTACCACTTGAGCCACATCCCCAGCCCTAGAATATGGAATTTTGGCAAATATTATTATTCTTGAGCAATATATGGATCCTTTAAGTCAATATTATGGTGAACACTGATTATCAACATATAGTCATGCTGTCTAACTCAGAACCAAGCTATACTGCTGTTCAAATGCAGAACCATAGTTAATCATAATGGAAATGCAAAAGCCTCATTCAGTTGTAGTCTCCATTAATATAGGCACTCTGCCCCTTTGTTTACAATTGTATCCTTAATGTTAAGAATGGTGACTTACACAAAGTAAACCTTCAAGAAATATTTACTTGATAGAACCTGTCAGGGAAACCTCATCTTCACAAGGATGAGAGATCAAGAAATACACAATGGGCAGACTTTTTAAAAGGCAACACTTAGTTGTTCTTCCAGTTAACTATTGCTGTGTAACAGATACTTTAAAAGTTTTAGCTTAAAATGAACTTTTTATTATGTTCATGGATTTTGTTGGTCAGTAATTTAGAGGACATATAGAGAATGGCTCATCTTTGCTTCACAATTGTGGGACTTGACTGGAATACCTACATGACTGGACTCTAGAATCATCTGAAAGTGTTCATTCACTCATACCATCAGGCTCCTGTGTTGGATGCTTTGACTTCTGGAGCTGCTCACCAAAACATGTTCCCTCAGACTTCTCATGTTGTTTGGCCATATCACAGCATGGAGGCCTTAAATTAGTTAGAATTCACAAATGGAGACTAAGGACTCAAAGCAGCATTGTTTCTGTAAACCAAACTTAAACTTCATATAGCGTTAATACTACCATACTCTTCTGGTAGAAATAAACATAAGCCTGCTTAGATTCAAGGGAGAGGAAATAGTATTCCATATCTTCATGGAGAAGCACCAAGGTCAAATCATCGTAGAGCATCTTGAACATTTTTTTTTTAAAAAAACATATCTGGAAAATACCACATGCTAAAAACATTTTGTGATAATAAATTCATAATTTCACTACATAGTGCAGGTTGCTATGTAAATCATTGATTAAATTTACCAATCAAGAATGTTGTTCTTAGGAAGCAACATATTGACAAAATCCAATTATAGTAAAACTAGAAGGAATTTTGAAAATGATCTAGCTTATCTCTGATCCAATTACAAGTCTAAAGTTCCTTGGGATCAGCTACTCGGGTTATGTCTAAAGAGGAAAATGAGGTCCAGAAAGAAACATATGGCAGATACCAGTTATTATATAACATTAGTAGCAGAGTTAAAAGGAGCACTAAGACATCCAGATTCTAGCCCAGGCCTTTCAACCCATTTTAAAACTCCTCATATCATTTGATTTCTTAGAAAAAATTAACCGCAATTGAGAACTCTCATTTCTAACAATCATGTGCCACTATTTGGACATTTTCACTACTAAAAGATTTTGTCATCCTCGGAACCATGAAGAGACAGTCTCTCTTAGCAAAATCTCAATAATTTTTCAATATGATTAAAATTCACACTATGTCACCTTAGTTGTGAACAAAGTAAAAATATGTTTTGTATAAGTCTTACCATTTGATAGTTAAGCCAATTAACAAAACCTGACAGCTGGTCTAGAATTTGAGGTAAAATTCCCCTGCTGACTCAGGCAGTGAATAAGAATTTAATGTTCATTAAAATATGTCACAGTCTAAGACCCAAAACAGGTACCATCTGTCACTCATTTCTACTATATACCTGGGTATAGATACAGTAGCTAAAACTCTCTTTTATTTACATCAGAGTAATTTGTTTTAAAATATTATTATTAATAACCCATGGGATTGCCTCCTATTTTTCACAAGGAATGTGAGGTAAGGAATTTGATATTCCATTTCTTCTAGATCTGTGGGATTCATATCTATGGCATGTAGATCTATTATTTTTATGATTAGATCTATTTTGGGGGGTGTAAAGGAGACAAAGGAGAAAAGGAACTTTGGCCTTTAAGAGGTGAATTAGAAGACTTACAGAATCATGTAAGTTATGGGAAGACCCAAATGCAGAATACATCTGTTTCTGGAGAATGTTGGTATTGCTAAAGAAGGATAACTCTGGGGAAGCATGGTGATCTAGGAAAGTTAAAACAGATAATAATATTAAACACATAAAGAATTATTTCCAGTGTAATAAAAATATGTCTTGGCACTATTCTCTGAGGCATACTACTTATGATAATAGAGTGAAGGTTTCCTGGGTCTTTTGTAAGTATACATTATTTTATTCACTTCAATTAATCTTCTAAACTTGACCAGAAAGAACTTGTCTATTTTTGTCTTATTGAACAAGTTATCTTTCTCTTCTTTATCTCCTACTGACCCAGTCTGATTTATTAACTGTAGCTTCCTTCCTTCTATGTAAGGGCTATGGCAATACTGTACTCTTCACTGGCTGTGGAATCAAGTGACAGGATTAGAGTGCTTATGGGAATTCAACAAGTCCCTGTTGATAATCCTCATCTCCTGTAATGGCCTTCAAAGAATTTATACACATAGAATCAGTGTTTTATAAAGTGTGATCCCCAGACCAGCAGCATAAACATTACCTGGAAACTTATGAGAAATGCAAATTTGTTTGCATACAAAAACATTTTTAAAAAAGATAGTGTGCGATGATCAAATGGGGTTCATCCCAGGGATGCAAGTTTGGTTCAACATACGGAAATCAATAAATGTAATTCCTCACATCAATAGACTTTAAAGACAAGAATCATATGATCATCTCAATAGATACAGAAAAAGCATTTGACAAAATACAGCATACTTTCATGTTAAAAACACTGTAGAAACTAGGGATAGTAGGAACATACCTCAACATTGTAAAAGCTATCTGTGCTAAATTCAAGGCCAATATCATTCTAAATGGAGAAAAATTGGAATTATTCCCTCTAAAAACTGCGACAGTTCCCCACTTCTATCCAACATAGTTCTTAAAACTCTAGCCAGAGCATTTAGACAAAAGAAATTAAAGGGATATGAACAGGAAAAGAAGAACTATCATTATTTACTGATGACATGATTCTATATTT